GAAGCAGGAATGAGTTCATAAGCACATTTCATTTCCCTTCAACAAGATACAGTTCTTGTTACAAAGGAACTTTTTTTTTTATAAGAATTTTTTTTTTTAATTACCACAGGCTCGTTTAATCGTTTAATTCTTTATCAAATCGCCTCAAGAGGACTCACTTTCAAAGGTTCTCCAAAAGGGACAACCTGAAAGACCTTTTTAAGAGTGCATTACTCAGACTATGGCACACTACTAGGCTCTTATGCATAATAAATATCTGAGAAGATAAGTTTCATTGATGTACCTGGTTGTAGGTGCAGTTTTTCTTCTTGCACTTGCCACACTGCAGCAGGTCAGTGGAGGTTCCTCCAGTCTTTGCCATCTGATGTTCTCGGATGGCCTCCTGGGTCAACACGTTTCTCAACTGTTTCAGTTCATCACTAGCCATCTCCTACAACAGCAGGAACATAGTGTTCATTTATAAACCGTACATTATGCATTAGTTTCAGATATATCATCTGTTTGTCAACACTTCATTTCAAAGGCTAACTTTTGCAACATTGCACTGTAAACAAACATTTGTCTCGATTCCCAGTAAAAAGTGTTTTTCTTGTTTTAAGCATAAATATATCATTTACATCATTTTGGGCAAATACGATAAGAATTTAAAGATACACTACTGTTTAAAAATTTGAGGTGCGGTAAAATTAATACTTTTAATTATCGAGGATGCATTAAATTTATAAAAGGTGTTTTTAAAATGTTAAAATGTTTCTTGAGCATCACATCAGCATATTTGAATGATTTCTGAAAGATCACTTGACACAGAAAACTGGAGTAATGACTGCTGAAAATTCAGCTTTGCCATCACAGGAATAAAATACATTTTAAAATGTATTAAAATAGAAAACAGTTGTTTCACCACAGTACCGTTTTACTGTATTTTCAAACAAATTAATGCAGCTTTGGAGAACATAAGTGTCTTCTTTCAAAAAAACATCAAAAAAGTAGTGTATGTTCTCTGAAAACAATTCTTAACTAATTATATTTATATTTTATAATTATTATTAGATTTTACCACTTTATATTTTTACTGGAAAACAAGACATAAATATTGATTTAAAGACAAACTTAGATTTTACTGATTCTTTTTTAACTGACTTTTTGCTGAACAACACATTTTTTAACCTGTAATTCATATTTATTATTTATGATTAAATTTTTTTTTTTACAAATAAATTCAAATTATTTAAGAGGTCCAATATGAGCAGTCCACCTCAGCAGTCATGATGGCGATGCGGCTCAACTCGATGGCTCCAGCCAAGACATTTTTACGCAGATTGGGATTCTTGGGATCTTTGAGGTTACTTATGCGGCTGCGAACTCTGTTCTTGTATTTCATATCTGCGGCTCTTATCTCCTGGTAGATATGTAACCAGAAGAACACGGTTAAGGAAATCAACTTGCAAACATTAAACAATATTTTCAAGAAGATTCTGCACTTAGTTTGACTTAGTCAACACATATGTTTACTAAGGATATGATCCTCGATTTCTGCTGCCATGCCCTCACAGTTTGCCCCATAGTCTTTGTAGTCATCTAAGAGGAAAAGCATATTGTGAGTATCATCTGCAAAATAATGAGCATCAAAACAATATATGTCAGCATGTCTGCGTGGGTGTCGAGTGGTTGTTTTTGCATACCATCTGTACGTAGCGCAGCGGCCAGCATTTCGATGCATTTGTCCCTGATGGGATCCCCAGTTTGCAGACGAGGAGATAAAGGACCCAAACCGGAGCTAAACGACGGGGAGAGGGGGCTTGTGGGTGTTGTGGGCATCTTTGGGGTCTCTGGTTTACTCTTGCTGTATGGGGAAAACAGGAAGGAGTCTTTAGTTCTCTAATGTCTATGTCTATGACAATTGGACTTTCAGTTAAACCAAAGCAGGAACTGAGAATTCTATTTCATTTAAACTTAAAGCTGGATTACACTACACAACTTTTGTGCAGATGTACGCCCCGATTTACAGCCTGGAGGTGTGAACTCCAGATGCCAAAAGTCAGTCGGAGATGACCGACCACAAAATCGCATCATGTATGATGGACACAGACTCTTATTTTTTTTAGCTTCAGACAATGATTTCATCCAGTTGGCGGATAATCAAACATATTTGATATTTTCAGCCGATTTTAGTATACTATTTTTTTCCTTTGTCATGCATCTCCAACATCAAGGTACATGTTTCTGTATGATTTTGTTGTCTCCAGAATTACTTGATCCTACGTTGTTTAGTGTATGATGTTGAGTTTTTCTCTGTAACCGTTTACAAAGTCGGCAACTGTATGATGCCTAGTGTTTTCAAATCTGCTCAGATTTGAAAAGTTGTGAAGTATATTCCAGCTTTAACCTTTGTGCTGTGCTGAAAATCCTTTACCTAACTTCAAAAATGACCAGCCTTTTAAAACTTGACTGTAAAGCATTCATTTTGGATTTAATCTTTCTGTCAACTCTTTTTATATTAGCACGTTTTGTATTTCTTTTTGGAAAAGATCATTAATCTGAGCTTATGCTCCTCAATTTTTGAGTAAAAAAAAAACATTATTTGGTATAATAATATGGCAAAATGAGACATTTGTGTTATTTTTTGTAGGCCAGTTATTTTTGACCAGGAACACTACAAGTGTAACAAGATAAAGAAAAAAAAAATCCCCCCAAACAGTACAAAAATTATTTTTGTTTCGTTTTAGGGAGGAAGTTATACCCTGCGTATGCAAAGTTATTAGGTTTTAGTCCAATGCAATAGCACTAACTAGCATTTTTGGGGGAAAAGAAAATCCTCTCTGGGTTAAAATGACTAGAACACAACTATTAGGGTTAAATTTAATATAATTTAAACAAAGCATATGTAGTGTGAAAGTCATGGACTACAACAATACACTTAAATTGTACATCCCAAGAGTATTATGTATTACTGCTATCTGTGAAACAACATTATTTTTGTGATTTGTTTATTTATTATTTGAATGGATTTTTTTGTTGTATTACAACTGGGACACGGAGAGGGCAGAATTGGCATGCTGGTTACAGCTAAATGAGGCTACTGTAAATATAGTTCTTGCCTTTCACTAGATTTCTTGGCCTGAGGTGAGCTGCCAGACCTTGAGTTAGTAGAATCTCTCCTGGAGAAATAAGACATGAGAGTTTATAGTAAACATTCTGTGGCGAACATGCATTTACCTTTGTACACAACAGTAAGTTTAAATACTTTACTATTGCATTGCTGTAACAGGTTACCTCTCCAGTTTAGGTTCACTTGATTGTCTTTTCAAAAGGTGATGGCTTGACTTGGAGTCAGTAGAGTCCTTACTGCAGTCAAAGCATAAAACACAAACACCTGATTTTCTTTGCCCTGAAAATCTCAGATATTTTCAGCATTTTTAATGATAAGTGATGCATGAGCAGACCTGTCTCTCCGTCCATCCAGGCTGAGCTTTCTAGAATGGAGCTTTTTAGAACCTGTGGAGTCTTTTCTAGAAACAAAAGTAGAATGGGGAATAAAGGTGACAATTTGGATTGTTTTAATGAACACAAAGAAACCACGAGTATTGCAAATCGCCACATCCTCAAACACCCAAGAAAAAATGAGAATAACGCATGCACTTCTGCTGCCCTCTGCCTTCATTCTGTTGCAAAACATCTATTCGAACCTCTCAATCTTGAGCTTCATTGATGGCCTTTTGAGTGGTTTACTGTCACTTGTGTCTTTTCTGAAAAAGAAGCATTGTCTCATTTAGTTAATTTAATTTCACTCAACAATGATCTTGTCCAAGGGTTAGTATTCATCATGCTTCTGACCTATCTTTCTCATTGTGTTCAGAAGTCCGTCGCTTCGGGTCTGATGTGTCTCTTCTACAGTAAAACAGCTTCAGTTATTTTTCAGGTGATGAAGTAATTAAGTAAAAACACAGGCACGCAGCTTTTAATATCAACATGCTTTCCAGTTCGCCTGGCCCTAACCTTTCTTTCTCTTTGTCTTTCTTTGTGTCTAATGAGGGACGTTTTGTAGGTTTAGCAGGCTGAAGATGGAGAGGAACAGGAGGAAGAGGAGCACTGGGTTCAGCTGTTTCTTTTCTAAGCAAAGAAAGTCACTGATTATTTATGAGACAAGGAACATTGTGCATGGTTAGAACACAGTGTTGTGCTAAAATGATGCTAAAAAGGATTAGCAGTACTTTGTTTACTCAAAAAGACAACACACCAAGCCCTGACCTCTCTTTCTTCATCTCGCGTTTCTGAGGAGGATGTAGATGAAAAGGTAAAGGAGGAAGCGGGGCATTCAGATCAGGTGCTTTTTTTGCCCTAGGCAAGAAATATACAATTCAAACGTGGCATTACAAAGAGAAACTTGAAGCGCATGTGTGATACTAGGTCATCTAGTGAACTAAAAATTATCATTTACAATTTCCCATTAATTGAACGCGGAATTATTTAGAGCAACTACTGCTATTTTCCAAAACAAAAGCAATAATGATATATTACACTGTGCTTTTCTATTCACTGGCAAACCCTCTTTATGAACTTTAACTGAAAGGTGCTCAGACCTTTCTTTGGACTCTTCTAGTGATGGACGTTTGGGAGGAGGAGAAGAAAGGATAGGAGCAGGAGGAGGTAGAGTTTCAGGAGGATCTTTCCTGTGAAGATAGATATTTGGTAGTGACTCCTTATGTTAGACATTTACTATAATTATTATAAAGAATACAAATCTGAACACATTCTCGTGTCCTGACCTTTCTTTCTTCACCTCTGATGAACGCTTAGGGATAGGAATAGGAGGAGGAGGAAGTGGAGGATGAAGGTGATGATGAAGAGGAAAAAGAGGATGAGGTGCATCTCTCCTGCATGAAAACAAGCATGAATGGAACAAGAATGTTGATTCAACATGAAGGAGATCGCTTATATAACACACTGTATGCACTTCTAGCACAATGTCCAACCTTTCTTTCTTTTCATCTATGGAGGGACGTTTATGAGGATGAGACTGAAGAAAAGACTGTAAAGGAGCCTGAGTGTCTTTTCTGTACAAGAGATGCAAACATCAAATTTAGCATTTAAACTTGATATAAATTACTGTTCAAAAGTTTGGGGTTAGCAAGATTTTTTTTTATATTTTGAAAATACGTTTTTTATGCTTATCAAGTCTGCATTTATTTGATTGAAAACACAGTGAAAATAGTAAAATTGTGAAATATTATTGTAATTTTAAATAACTATTTTCTATTGTGATATATTTTAAAATGTAATAAATTCCTGTGATGACAAATCTGAATTTCCAGCAGCCATTACTCCAGTCTTCAGTGTCAATAAAGGTGACAATCTGTATTGTTTTAATGTACACAAAGAAACCATGAGTATATATTTACTTCCATTTTTAACCAATTTAATGTGTCCTTACTTTAAAAAAAATCATTAATTTGTTAAAAAAATTTACTGACCCCAAACTTTTAAACTGTTTTGAGGTTTCGGTTGCTGTATCAACTATCACTGTAGGTAGTATGCAATAGAACCAATAGACTACATTAGAAAATATAACTTTTTGTACTTCGATGACACATTCTTAACTAACACATGTCCAAGCATGCAAAACGCTCTGACCTCTCTTTCTTTACATCTACTGATGAGCGTCTTAGAGGAGGGTGGGAATTGATCGAAGCAGGAGGGAAAAAATCAACAGGAGCATCTTTCCTAAACAAAAGTGAAAATTCATCTTACATTACTGTTTCCACTTTTACGCTGGACAACCACGGTAGCAAAAGCATGGCAAAAGCAAAAAAATCATGGCACCAGGGTCATGCATCATTAAAGGGGTCATGCATCATTAAAGGGGTCCTATTATGCTTTTTCACTTTTTCAACTTTAGTTAGTCTGTAATGTTGCTGTTTGAGCATAAAAAAGATCTGCAAAGTTACAAAGCTCAAAGTCCACTTCAAAAGGAGATCTTTTATTTAACAGAAATCACTTTTCAAAAACTACAACGAACGACTCGTTTGGACTACAATGCATATTTTCCTGGATTTGTGATATTATAAAAATCTACGAATGGGACGAGACCTGGTTGAGCTGCACTAGAGAAGGCAACGAGTGTTATCGCTACATTGGAGACACGCTAGCTTTCGCAAGGCAGACAAACTTAAGAGTGGTTACAATCATCCGGGTTTAAATCGCGCTCAAATTGATTTGATTTTGAAGCAATATTTACACTGAAGCTGGCATGCAGGTGGCTATGGTAAGGGGCGTGACATTCCCTGACCAGGCGCCGAATGGTGCCAATCACAACACACACTGGCCCAGCTAACCAATCACAGCACATTTCGTATTTCAAAAGGCAGGCCTTCATTTGATACAGGAACTATTCGATCCGTTCATGCCAGACTGGGGAGAGAGGTGTTGTAATAATGTAAAATATGTGGAAAATAATGTGTTTTTCGAACATCCTAGTATGAGAGCCTGTTCTAGTACACCCCCAAAACAAAATCAAGACTTTGTAAAAGAGCATAATAGGACCCCTTTAAGAACAGCTTTTTAAGTTAATTCCTGAATTTGAACTGATGTAGCAAACACAATGCAGAACTGCAATTCAAATTTGACTTTAAGGAAGATCTGTACCAGTGTAATTTTTAAATAAATTGACAGACATTTTGTGATTGTTTTGTTGTTTCGAGTATTTAGCTATAGGTTTAGAGAAATACACTACCTTTCAAACTTTGGGGTCAGTAAGATTTTTTAAAATTAAAATAATTAATAGTTTTATTCAGAAATTATGCTTTAAATTAATCAGGTGACAGTCAAGACATTAGAGCATAAGAGACTTTATTCTGAAATATTAAAAAATGTTACTCACCCCAAACTTCTGAACTGTAGTGAATGTCTAATCAGTTAACGTATACATGTATGTTACAATTCAGTGAAAGAAAACAGACATAATTAGTCTAGAATTAATGATGCAATTATTTTTGTTTTGCTATATAACCAAAGAAATTCCTCTTGTTGTGTGACTATGTTGATTTTTTTTTAATTCAGTAAATTCCACTTCCTGTTCAATTTAAATGTAATTCAACATGCTGTTGGACAGGAAAAACAAAAACCAATTCTTATATTCCACCAATAGAAGAACTGCACAGTTGCAGAAAAAGTGCAAAAAAAAAGGCAGTTGTTAATTAGTGAAATTTTAAAGAAAATATTTTTTCTAGATCATCAGAAATGGCTGCATGTTTTGGTATGTGGTAAAAGTGCTTCCTCCTAACCACAGTCACATGCTTCAACCGCATGCACAAGCCCTAACCTCTCCCTCTTCACTTCCCCAACCGGAGGACACTTGGGAGGCGGAGATGAATGCGTCATTGGGGAGGGAAGATGATCACTGTTCAATGCATCTCTCCTAAACAGAATGCACATAAAACTCCTCAATCTGATGGCACGGTTTTGTAGGGGCAGAGGGGCTTTATACAGCACATGGGATTCTCACCTCTCTCGTTCCTTTTTATTGATAATAGAGTGTTTCTCTTTTTTCTGTTCACTTTCTCGTTTTTCATTCCTGAGCTCTGCATCACATTTCTCTCTTCTGTGTTTTCCATCAAGTTTCTTGCTAGAGTCTAAGTCTGGTTTAAATTCCATTGTTGACCTTCGTGGACTGATGAGATAAACAGGTTATACTTCATAGCGCAAACAACAAGTCTTTGCTTATGTCCCCTTTTGCATAAATCAATGTTAGTATAAAAAATAGACCACCCTCTTGTATGTTTATAGGAAGAGATTCCCAAAGCTTTCAATTGACCCTTCGCAAAAACAGTAAAAAATACATCGCGAAGCAAAGAGTAAACTGACAATGTGCAGACAGTCAAGATAGAGCAAGTTACTTCTACAGTAGTATGTAACAAAGTCTCAGCTTTCAAATTTTGTCATATTTTAAGAAATTCAAACAATAAATACCATTTTGTGGCTCTTTTATGTGTCGTGACAGATCGCTGTGGCACCTCAGTTCAAGCAGCACGTCAACAGATCGTCTTTTCATATTTACTTAAAGTACGAAATGAACATGAATGAACATCAGAATGTTTTTTATTTCAACCGCGGAAAGCCATCAATACACACAATTTTTCAAGTTTAAGTCCACCGAAGTTAATCTACTCTCCTGTCTGATATGTTTGTCGGACAAGATTGCGGATTCGGCATTATGATTGGTCAGATTGCTTGTCAATCGAGCTCTTTGTGAAGGGTCAATTCCACTTTACAAAAGCTGTGTCTGGAATACCTCCATGTTTTATCCTGATATCAGCAAACATACCTGGACTCTCTCTCAGGAGAGGTCCTGTTGGGTGACCCTGATGGCTTGCTTGGATGATTGCCATTCTTCACCTCATTTGACCTCTCAGACTTTTGGTTTTGAGCCAATTCTGATGAAGACATAAAGGCATAAATGCATTAAAACATTACATTTGAAGTCAGACCATAAGAAATTAACCATTTTAAACTTAATAAATAGAATAAAAAACTATATTATTTCTTTAAAACATTACACCTACCTAAAAGCTTCTTCCAGTTTTTGATAAGGATCTTTGCCAAATTGACAACATCCTCGTCTGTGCAATGTTTTCTTATTCTGTTGACAGACATGCCAATTCTTGTATCCTGGAACAAAGTAAATCTTGACTCTTAGACAAACAAAAGCGCGCAAGATATCAGACAACCTACTGTGATGTTAACAAGAGCAGCTGCATTTATGTAGCAAAATTTACTAATCTATCTGATGTATCTTAGCTGTTATATTATTCACAATTCTTTCTTACATCATCATTTAAAATTCTCTATTATAATTCTCTCCATATTTTTCTGCCATGGATTTTTTGTTTTGCACAGTCCATATTGATTGCATTGCATGTGTTTAAGGCTGTTTGTGATACCTTTGATTTGCAGCTATATCTCCCTAAAGGAATCAATAAAGTATGCCAATACAACTGATCCAGCAAACATACCTGAAGAAGCTTCAGTGTCATGTTGAAATCTTTCAGTTCTCTCAGAAGATCTAGAGCTCCATCCTATACAAACAGGGAGATAATTATTTTAGTATTTTAACAATTACTTAATTACCTAATAACTGTATTCATTTTGTTCTTAATATTATTTCATGCATTTTATTTATTTTTACATTATAATAACTCAATGTCACTGCTGCAAAATCTCAGGCATTTTTGCATTTGTGTTACACGTCATAAGTCATACTGGAACAACATAAGGGAAAGTAAATTACTGCAGAAGTTTCATTTTAATTTTTGGATGAACTGTCCCTTTAAATTCTCTGCCCGTGAGTGTGAAAATATTTATGTCGGCCAAAACACACACCGCCTCCACGACCTTGTGCCATTTACTACGAGGAATCCAATACATACATGCTGTTAAGTATTAACAAAACGTGCATACAAACATGTCAACAAAACTCTGTCTATACTGATCACACTTTGGTCCTCGTTCTTGTCGCTGCCCTGAATAAATCTAAAGTAAATCTGCGCAATGCTCAGCCAACACCTGTTGTCACATGCGTCTCTGTAGTCCTATTACACACACACACACACACACACACACACACCCTGTTGTCACATGCGTCTCTGTAGTCCTATTACACACACACACACACACACACACACACACACACACACACACACACACACACACACACACACACACACACACACACACACACACACACACACACACACACACACACACACACACACACACACACACACACACACACACACACACACACACATTACGGTCTCTAACACACTTCCAACTAAATTAAACAACGCTTTGTGCACGCTTGTATCTAAATTAAGCATTATTAAAACAGCATAAATACACATGCAAAAAAGTTTAAAAGAGTTATTCATAAGCAGCATACACAGAGATCGCACAAACAAACAGCGTGAAGCGTTGCGTCAAAATTAGGATCTCACCATGTTATTTCTAGACACCATCTTGTCTAGTTTTTTAGCAATCCGCAACAGGTCCTCCTCTCGCGTCATTATGTGCGCATTAATATGCTTTAAGTGAAAACGTGATGTGTTTTATAATACGTTATGTCACATAAATCTTAATTCAACGAAATGTAAGAAGTTTTGTTCCCACGCATAAGTTGCTTCTGCACGCTCAGTTGAGCCGAGGGGGCGGGGCCTTCGAGACAGTCGGAGCTGTCAATCAATCCATCTGGATTTATGAAACTCCTAAATATAGGCCTAGACGTTACTAGGGGGCGATAAAAGTTCAGTGTTTTTTAGGAAAGACATTTGCAGCAGACATACTTTGAACTTTGTAACTTGGGTCTGTTGTATTTTGTGTGGGGTTTTTTTATCGCTTAGACACGTGTGTGCATCATTTTCCAATCGGGACACATTGTGGTAACGCTTTATGAAATAGACGTTACAATGTTTCGCAGCTATTTTAGCATTCTTGTAAGTATTTTTTCTGAATGTTATTTAATGTTTATTGAGTAGCTCGATATTTCACAACTGTCATTTGTCTGGACATTGCAACTTGCCCCGTTATTAAATCAAAGCATCAGAAAAATAATGTGAAAAGATCGTTTGGGGCATTTAATTTACTACACAATAAACTCAACAGGTGCTACATGAGTTGAGCAACAGATGGCAGCACGGTGTCGTGTAATATCAATATCCCAATGTGGGAAAGCAGCAGTGCAGTGGACTCAAAACAGATAAGAATGACTAAAGAAATAGTTCCAGAAATTAATATAGCATTTATATTATGTCATTCATGTCATCTCATGACTTTATTTCTTCTGTGGAACACAAAACGAGATGCTTGGCTGAATGATGAGGACTGACAGTCTTACCTATTCACCCTCACTGCATCTTTTTCTATTCAGTTAGAGATTTAACATATCCTGTTGACGAATTAACTTTTTATATTTCCTGTGATAATATAGAGAACTTTCATAGACATAGAGTTTGAAATAACCCTGAATATTCGTTTAAAATGCACTGTTTGGCTTTATTTTGCAGCTTGTGGGAGGGTGATATTGAATTTTTATGAACCCTCCTACACTTCATCACACTCTTTCTGTAGGAGCATTGTGACGTGGTGCCTCAAGGTTTTATTGTTATTCATTCAAATGTGCAAAGCATGTTCAAGAAGCTAAACTAAAGCTCATTCCATATGTGGTGACTTAAGATGACATCTGTCCTAAAACAACTAAGCAAATATGTTGTGGCATTTTTCTATTAAAACGTGCGCAAAATGCACCCTTAATATAACACCAGCAACATTTCATGGACTTGTATAGACACAAATATTCACCACTTCCTCTTCACTACCTTTATAAATGTGCACTTCCTGTCATCCTCCAATGCCTTCACCCTAAATAACCTCTATGGCTTGGGCTTCTATGGTTGCATAAATTATATAAAATTATCAACATACATTTAAAATGTGCTGACAGACAGACAACAAGTAGAACTTGCCTGGAAGTCCTGGTTTTCAAACCACAAAGAAAAAAGGAGTAGAAAAAAGAAGAGACTTGAAAAATGGTTTTCCTTTTGATGACCTCCCGCTTCAGTTTTACGACAAAATAATGAATCCACCAGTACCCACCTACAGTGTCTTCTCAGAGAGTTTGCGGTGTCTCTACCAATTATAGACACAAGACGCCGGACTCTGGCAATTATGGAGAGTCTGAGATGACATCAGACCAGAAAATGAATGATTTCACCGTGCTTCAGTTTTTTTAGGTGCAGAGAGCCCCTGTAATAAAAGGCAAAGATGCCGGGCTGGATTGCCACGGCATGCACACCAGCCTCTGGTTAAGGGTGTATTTATAACATCTCAGCAGAAGAACCTTTTTTGGTTATGTTGGAAAGTTCTGAGCGTGTTTGTGTCGCAACATTTTAAAGGAAGTGATATTTGCTGAGGATTCAAGACACTCACACGCCAGGGGCAGAACTAGTGCTTTGTATACAGTATGCCTGGTCGAAACCACAAAGGTGTGATTGTCATTGTAGATGAAAACAGATGGATATTAAAGGAATAGTTCACCCAAAAATGAAAATTTGCTGAAAATGTACTTACACCCTCAAGCCATTTGCTCAATGCACCACTGGGTCCTCTGCAGTGAATGGGTGCCGTCAGAATGAAAGTTCAAACAGCTGAATAAAAACATCCTCAAATAATCCAAACAACTCTATCAATTAATTTCCAGTGAAGTGAAAATCTGCATGCTTGAAACAAATCTATCATTAAGGCATTTAAAGGCACAATATGTAATTTTCGCCGCTGGAGGGCGCGTATTTAAAATAAACAAATAGACAAAGGCGTAGTTTGATGACGCCGTGACTGAGTGTGGAATCATGGGAGTTGTTATCTTCATCCCCACAGCCGATGCAATCCGACAGGACTCGGGCAGAAATCATGTTCATGGATGAGCTAATGATTTATTAACGTAGTAGAATGAAGCAGGGTGAGGCTGAAAGCCGTCGAAGCGAAACTCCGCTCCGAACGAGCGTGACACGCGGCTCGAAAGCAGCGGAGCTTTTATTATGCCACAGTTGACCGCTTCCGCTGCTTCCAGTCGTGCGTATGTGGGAAAAAAAGCAGTGCTGTTTTATTATACTAGATACATTTGAAAGTTCTGTTATTATGCTACTCTGTGCGGTCATCATCTGTCAATTAAAACGCACAACATATTAAAGCGTCTTTGGTGTAGTTAAAATTGCTTATTTCTCTGGATTTAAACATTCTTCGGAACATTTGGGATAATGTAAGTACACAAGTCAGCAAAATATATAACACTGTTCTAGTGGTTTTTGGATATTTTAATAAAAAAATCTTACATATTGTGCCTTTAAACCGTTGCTTCTGTCCAAAATATGAGTCCATAATAATGCTTCTTATATTGAAAAAATCCATGCCCTGTTGTCCTCTCACATTAAAATGTCTGTTTAGAACTGTTTTAGACTATTTTCTTTTGGTGCTTGATCTGTGCATATTTCTCTCCTGATTTCAGACGAGACGATTTTTTCACTGTAGAAATCAATATTATAGAGAGAGGACTCATATTTTAACTGGAAGCAACACTTTGTTGAAGTTAAAGATATCTTGATGGATTTGTTTACTACAAACACACAGCTTTTTACATTTACAAGACATAAAGTGATGGACTAATTAATGGAGCCATGTGCTTTACTTCTGGATTATTTCTGTTTTCTTTCGACTTTCATTCTGACGGCACCCATTCACTGCAGAGGATCCATTGGTGAGCAAGTGATGTAATGCTAAATTTCTCCAAATCTGTTCGGATGAAGAAACCAACTCATTTACATCTTGGATGGCCCAAGGGTGAGTACATTTTCATTTTTAGGTGAGCTATTCCTTTAACAGAGTTTCATTCAGCGTAATTAGTCTGATGTAGCTCACATGCTGCAAACCCTATTGAACAAGTCCAGACACTGCGGTTCGTTAACATGCAACGCGTGTCTATGCAATTACAGCCTTTTAACTAAACGTCACTCGCTTCTAGTATGCTGTCGTGCTAAGCAGTCATAGACATCAATTGCTTCAAAAAGGGAACTTGGGATCACGCTCAGACTCCGGCAATTGACAAGACATGCCTTTGTGACTCCACAGACAATGAACTCTATAACTAGTTAAAGGCAAAAGTGTGTTAGTGTGTAAATCCCCTCTTACTCTCATTTCCCTACCTATCTGCCATTAATCCTTTAGTGAGAACATCCACATCCCCTTACATAGCCTACACTTTTCCTCCTGCCAAATTCAAAGCATTTTTACCACCTACAAACCCAGTTTCACTTATTTCTTAATAGCTTAAAAGGCATTAATCAGCTTGAGAGTTGCACTGAGGTGAAATCTTTTAAACTGTCATTGAAAACACCTTCTCTAGTCTAGTCTCATATATATTGTTTTGTTTTGAATGTTGCACAAGGCCGTTTCTGGAAATATTTATTTATATTTTTGAATAAACATCACTACTGTTGAAAAGTTTGGGTTTTTTATCTGTTTTGTTTTTCAGCAAGGATGCATTAAATTGATCAAAAGTTACTGTAAAGACTTTTACATTGTTACGAAAAATTCGTATTTCATATAAATGCTGCTCTTTTTAACTTTCATTCATCTTCAAAGAATGCTGAAAAACATGGCTTCCACAAATATATTAAGCAGCCCAACTGTTTTCAACATTGATAATAATAAGAAATGTTACTTGAACACCAAATCAGCATATAAGAATGATTTCTGAATGATCTTGTAACACTGAAGACTGGAGTAGTGACTGCAGAAAATTCAGCTTTACTATAACAGGCATAAATTACTTTTTAAAATATATTAAAATAGAACATTTCAGAAACAAAATCTAAAAAATGTTTTTCTTTTTACATTTTGTTGAACGCCACATTTAGTCTTTTTGTCATTTTTCTATCTTCCTTCATGAAATCACTTCATACCTGGAAGCTTGGATAAGAGAGTTTTGGAGGTTTGCATGGTGATTGGCAAAGACTTGTAAACATCTTTTAGAGGCTTACAGAAAACAGACAGTAGGGAATAACTCACAAAATCCCCAAAGATACTGGATCTGTTGAAACAAAATTAGCTTAAACAGCATGCTACCTCTCATAACAAATTATACTCTGTACCCTGTTAAGCCAGTCACTGAGCTTATGACTGTGTCTAAAATTTGATAACAAAATGACAAGAAAACATGTTGTAAATATAAATGATGAAAGGGACCCATCCGAACTCAGTTCCACTGTTTTTTCACATTAGCACATGATTTATAGATACCACATGATTCTTTGAGTGTAGAGGAAGCAGGGGTCTCCTCTCCAAAATCTCTGATGGAAAATCTCCATAATGGCTTTAGGGTTGATCCCGGGTCAGAAGAAAAGAGCCCGTTAAACGGGGGAACGGGGTGATGTCACTAGAGAGAGGCCCAAGGCAGCTGATGTCATGTTCAATTGAAAATAATTCCGAAAAAAAAAACATGTATCATGGTTTCCACAAACATATTAAGAAGCAAACCTGTTTTCAACATTGATAATAATAAGAAATGTTACTTGAACACCAAATCAGCATATAAGAATGATTTCTGAATGATCTTGTAACACTGAAGACTGGAGTAGTGACTGCAGAAAATTCAGCTTTACTATAAC